GTTTCCCTGCAGTGCGACCTAGTCAGATCTCGTGGCCCTGGGAACGGCTGTTTGATGCTTCTCTGAGGCGGCTGCAATGGAGATTCTCGAGATGGGTGGGCGGCGACTTCTCTAAGAAAGAGAGAGCTGTTACGATTTTTAGGGCTTAGGGCTTAGGGTTGTAAGCCCCCCGGAGCCTCTGATGGCTGTCGCGGGTTCTTTCAGATTCCGGGTTCCCCTCGCTGAGAAAGATCTCTGGCTACCAGATGGCGACAAGATCCCAGCAAGAATCGCCCTTCCGTTGGTTTATGGTTCCTGTGCATGTGGGAGAACGGGCTTACTTCACTTAGGCTTCCGGGTTCGGGGGGTAGGATCGACCTACGGTGGGATTCTTAGGTAGACCGGAGACACCCAGAGAGGACCCAACTACCTGATTCTGCGCTCAGTGATTCGGAACTTAGCCGATGGTGATGGTGGTCCTGAAGCGACGGCGGGATGATTCTGAAGGTAGCCACAAGGCCCCGTGACCAAGGTGTGTGATCATCACCTTCAACCCCGCAGAAAGGCCCAGAAGCGGTACATCTCAGGTCGAATGGAGATGGATATAGACTCAGATTGAAGTTTGGAGGGCTTCTGCAAAAGGGAGCTGGGTTGAGGTTCTCCGCCCACCCCCCTGTCAGGGTAGGGTGCTGGGCTCGGAGATCGGGTGTGTTCTGGTGATAAGGACGGGGTTTCGTTGGTGAGAGCCACGTGGTGCCAGGCGTGTGATCCAGAAGTTCCTCCGGGAGCATGAGGCGGCAGGGTTTTTCGCGGGGTTTCGTGGGGTTTCGGAACCCACAGAGCAAATATCCCTTAATTAAGGAATATGGCTTAAATCACAATATGAAGTCCCTTATTATTTAAGGTATATTCCTTAATTAAGGGATATTGGGCTCTCTGGGTTCGTGGGTTTCGGAACCTTGCAGAACTGACAAGCGCTAAGCCCCTTACTTCGGATGCTCTTCGACAGTATTTCGGTGTGCAGGGTTTGGGCTACGGGACACTCAACCCTACATGCATCCAGGGTTTTTGACCTTCGTGTTGGATTCTGATGAGGCCCTGGGGCTTTACGGTTTAGGGTTTAGGGGTTCAGGGGTTTAGGGCAGTAAGGGCAGCAGCCGAATACCTTGTGAAACAAGGGGTTTAGAGTTTAGGGTTTCGGGTTTGGGGTCTAGGGTTTAAGGCCCGGGGCTTAGCATGAAAGCCCCGAAGCTCTTCAGGGAGAAAGGCTTTGGGTCAAAGGCGCCGAAAAAAAAAACGTCGGAACCCGCTGCCCCTCAACTTAGGAGCCCAGTAGGTAAAGTTTAAACTTTTTGGTATATTGAACCCCCTACGAAAAGAAACGTTTAAACTTTTTTGGGCCAGGGTACTGGGCTTCAAGGTCAAAGAGAGAGAGAGCATCCCGTGGTCCACTGAGCTCGTGCAGTGCCTAGTACGGAGCTCTAAATAATTAGCAGTAAGTCCGTAGAGTCTCCCTAGATACGGTTGATGATATAAATTCTGCACTACCCATACGAAGGAATATACCATAGTTCCCATAGTCTAGGGCCCTTAAGGTAATGCAGGAATTATATCATTAGCAGTAGTTGTACCTTAGGATAGCTACTAAGGGTCCTCTACTGTGTGCCTAAACCAACTTCACAAAACTGGCGCCCGTTCGAAGCAGGGATGGTAAGCGCAGATCTACATCTCGTAGTGTATGGATGACAGGAGCGGCAATTCCATGCAAACGAGTCGTCCCGCTTAAGCGGCTGGCACGAAAGTTCCGTTGAGCACGCGCTCCGTGATCAAAATGACCTACACGTCACGAACTTTATCCTGAGCAATTAAACCCTGCTTCTAGGCTGCAGTATAAATTAGTAATTAAGGTCTCAGATATTCTCTGGTTTTTCAAGGGATTGTGAGAGCTTCCGCTTTTGCAGTGGTCCATCCGACGGCTGTTCAACTGAAGCGCCTGGCTAGGATCCACCTGCGTCAGACCTTGCGTCCCTGGCTCCGGTGAGGCTCGTGCTTTGAGGGTCTGTCGCAGCTCCGGGTTTCCGGCTCGGGTCTGCGGTTTTGAGGGGTGTCAATGAGACCCGCTTTGCCAAGGGCATCAAGGGGTCTTGGGTGGGGCCTAGACTCGAAATCCTAAACTCTAAGTCGAACGACATTCCACGACCCAAAGCGAGGCTGACCGAGCTCTACCCACTCACCGCCACCGACTTGAACTTTGCGGTGCGTCGCGTGACGCAGCCGCGACCGCCTCGAGGTGGATCACGGAGTCAACAGAGGATGCAATGGGCTTCTAAAAGCGAGCTCTAAGGATATTCTATTTGTCTGGCATTTCGTTGAGAAGGTTGTTTCAAATCGTCCCTTCTGTTGAAGGTTGCAGTTAGGGTTTAGGAGTTTATGATGTAGCTGGGAACCTGCCCTCGAGTATCTGGCCGGCATACAATCCAAGCCCGTGCTCAAAAGGGGCTTATAAACCCTAAACCCGAGACCCTAAACCCTAGTATAGGGTTTCGGCTTTGGGTTTTCTTGTCCGTTTTGGGGTCTCCACTCTTAGCATATGACGCAGAAGGGTGCCCGAATCTAGAGAACGCAGGGTTCAGGGTGTAGGGCTGGGCCGCCCAAGCCCTACTGCAATATAGGGGCCTTAACAAAAAATATTTTGGGGGCTCCTTATTATAATTATAGTATAATGGGCCCCAAGACCCTATTCTAATCATTAAGGCGTCTACATCAAACCCTGATCCTCCCCAAACCCTCAGTAAAAAATGTCGGGGCCTTCATAATTAGAATAGGGTTTGGGGGTTCCTTTAAAAGGGATTCTTAAACTGCTCTATAAGGGATCTATGATAGGGTTCCACGTTAGGGGCCTTAACAATTGGAAGGTTTGGGGTCTATTCTACTATACTCATACCAAGGAGCCCCCAACACCTTCAGAATTCGAAAGGGTTTGTGGGTTTTATACGCTATTCATGCTAAGGAGCCCCCCAAAACCCTATTCTAATTATTGGTTTGGGGGCCCAGTATACTCTGACTATAATTATAAGGAGCCCCCAAAATAGTATTGGTAATTATCTGCGCCCCTAAACCCTAAACCCTTACAGTAGCCCTTATAGAATCCTTTAAGGAACCCTTCAAAGGGAACCCTTAAAACCCTATTCTAACTATCAAGGCGCCCCTATATTAAGTGCACAGGACGCGACATTATCGATGCATCACGTCGAAGAATGTGAAGGGTTCGGGAGGTCGGGTTTATGGGTTTAGGATTGAGGATTTAGGTGTTCCTTTAAGGGTTCCCCTGAGAGCTCTACAGGGGTTACCATCGGGTGTTTGGGTTCAGGTTTCCAAGAATTTCTTTACAGCTTTGCTTTTTGCGGCAGTTCTCGTCGCACGCGCTACTACTATCACTAGAAGCGCTACGTGTAAGAGAGACGCTCGAGGCCCGCTTCTCTGGATTCGGTCTGCTCTGAGATGGAGCCTTCCGGGTTCATTGTAGCAAGACTCGTAGATGCCACGGGCAGGTCGTATTCTACAGAGACTCCAATACCCCTTAATTAAGGAATATACCTTAAATTATAGTAGGATCCCTAATAAGGTTTAAGGTATATTCCTTAATTAAATAAGGGGTATTGGAGTCTCTGGGTCTATGGCTTTCGCTCACCTGTGAGCCCCTTTCAAGAGGTCGGCGCAAAGCAGCCGACTCCAAGTCCAAGTCATCTCTCTGTGTAACCAGAGACTCCAATACCCCTTAATTAAGGAATATACCTTAAACCTTATTAGGGATCCTACTATAATTTACGGCATATTCCCTAATTAAGGGGTATTGGAGTCTCTGGGATAGCCTTTCCCCGACCCTTCTGTTTTCGGAGGTGCCGAGTTTGTTCTTCAGCCTCGCTCTAGAAGCTCCGTCCTCTTCGTGCTGTGGCTTGGCCTGCGCTTTAGGTTCGGAGTTCAGCAAACTGTGGTGCTAGGCGGAGATGGCAGGAAGCACTGGCAGCACTATGTATGGCTATGACTCAGATCGACGACGATGTGTGCTGACATCGCTGTGATAATGAAGAATGGTCTGAGTATTGATGCCACCTGAATTTGCGCAGCGTTGAAGTGGTGGCGAACTGCTAGATTTCTCATCATCGTTGTTAGCATATGCTATCTGTGTCCCATGACCTTTGCAGTGCTTTTGGAAGGCTGGGCGGTGAGACGTGCGGAAACGTAGAGCTTTAGGGTTTAGGGTTCAGGGATATAGGGTTGAGGGTTCAGGGATTTAGGGTTGAGGGACCAGTTGTCGTGAGGCCTTGGCTTCCTTGAGTGCGAAAGTCGAAGCCTCCAGTTCAGCGTCCAAGCCTAGAACTCCTCAAGCGCGAAACTCCTCAAGCCCGAAAGCCCTAGGGTTTAGGGTTTAGGGTTAAGCCCAAAAGCATCTTCATCAGATCCCAAACCCGAAGCTCTAAACCGTAAAAGCATGTTCTTTGTATCAACTTCGGGACGCAGCAGAGACTATGAGA